ATATCACGTGGATGTTTGTTGCCTGTCCGAAGTCCGACTCCCCGATTCAGGCCTCCGAGAAATCAAAATCCCGGTAGTCGATTCCAAACTCACCCTCTATCACAGTGGTCCGTGTGACCAATCTGGTAGACACGGCGTGGCTATTGCCCTCTGCGAACGAGCCAACCGTGCACTACTGGCATGGGAACCAGTCAACGACCAAATGGCTTAAGTTCGACTAAAATGCCATTTTACGAACATTTCGGTAGTCTCTGCGTATGCACTGACATCAGCGGCTGAACAGCAAGACAAAGAGAATTTCTGCTCACAGCTGCAGGAGCTAGTTGAGAGACTTCCTCGCAGCGACCTAATAATTGTTGCCGAGTACTGGAATGGCCGGACTGGACCCGGTGACCTGTCAAACAGCCACCTTATTGGTCGTTTTGGGCTTGGCTCTCGAACCGAAAATGGTTAGAGGATGCTGCGGTTTGCCGAACAGTACCAACTATTTGTTACCAAAACATGCTTTCAGCATCCTCACAAACATCGACTGACCTGGTATTCGAACGATGACCGTACCGCCAGTCAGATCAATTGCATTCTAGTTGGTTCACGGTTTTGCAGCCGGGTCCACGATAGCCGGTCGACGCGATGTGCCGAAACTGGTAACGTCCACGGGTCTGACCATGCTCTCGTTTGAACGCACCGGAAGGTTCACCCCTCATCTGCGCCCGAAATGCCATGTGCGAGACTCCTTGATGTCGGAAAGCTTCGGCAACCCAGTACTACCGAGGCCCTAAGCACAGAAATCCGGTCCCTTCTTACGACCCAGGCTGGCAGCAAAGGCAGTAGCAAATGATCATCACGAAAGATATCCGTCAATGGGACAACTGAGAAAATTCTCGGATTTAATCAGCGGCGCCACAGTGACTGGACCAGCGGAAGAACCCTGCAGCTATCGGCCAAGATGACTCGAGCCAGGTCCCGAAACGATGCCTCCTTCCGCCGACTTGGAAAGCTGACAGCAAAATCGGCTAGAGATGACCGGCAGAAGTATTGGTCCGAAACGGCGACTTTTATGGAGCGGGCTTTAAATGTTGGTGACACCTGAAAATTGTACTAAATCATCCGCCAAGTTAGTGGTAAGCCCCCAACACTCGGTGATTCTGTTCGCGATGTGAATGGAGGAATTATTGCCGACAACTTTGCCAAGGCCGATGGCTGGCGCGAACACTTCGAGCACCTACTCAACTTTGATGAACAACCCATCACACCCTCCCTCTCCTCCACAGCGGAGTTCCAACCCTCTCCTTCCTACGCAGTGTCGTATGACCTCCCTTCCGAAGACTTGTATCGACACCCTGGCGCCTCGGCTTCATGAGGTGATTGTACAGGCCTGGCGAGAAGAGGCC